ATTGCAAGATCACAGTTTTATGCAGGCAGATCACAAGCGGTTCAAGGTTCTTCCACTTTAGTGCAGTTACAAGTGTACAGCAAAAATGTTATATAATGCTACGCAATGATTCTACAAATCCTGACCGATGGTTCTTTCTACTCTGAAGGTTAACTAGTTATCCAATTCTTAGTCATGTTTACTGTATATACATGGAAAGCTTACTTTCACAAACTAAAAGAGTGTTCCTTTTTGAGAATCAACTACAAACAGGGCCCCATATCAGCCTTGTTGGGATTTGGACTGGAGTTGATGAAAAAAAGAAAAGAAAGGATAAAAAATTATCCCTTCTTCTACAGCCAGTAAAGAAACACACTGCTCATTAACAGCAACACAAACCCCCCACGTTATTTGTAAGCAATATAATGAACAAGAGGGTACATCTAATGGTTAAGCATAAATGGAAAACAGTATCTTGAAAAGAAAAAAGGAGTTTAGAATTAGCATTACCTACAACTGCCTCTCCTTCCCCCAAAGGCCTCATTTTTCTCATATGTGCTCACTCAGCATCACCCCTTCTCACCATAACTCCTTTTTTTGGGTCTAGACTCTTAAGTTACATAGAACATTTCCAGCTCTAAAGAAATAAGTAGACTTCGACATAACAAGAGACAGTAAGTGCTGTTACTAACCATTCAACCAGCACACCTTTCAGAACATTCACCATCTTCTGAGTTTTCTCACAAACGCTGAAAGGAAGAGGTGACAAGCACAGGTCTTGCTTTGGGCTTCACAGGTAAACAAGAGTAAACCTGAAAGCAAAGGAAGCAACGCCTTGGTTGAACTCAGCGATCCTTCACGACAAGTCACCTCTCCAGGACCCGCGGTGCCCGGCGACCACGAAAAGCGGCGGGGGCCTGGAGTGGCGCGCAGGGACAGGCCGTAGTACCAGACCTAGCGCAGGCAGGACACTGAGCTGGGAAAATTAAAGGCCTTCCCCTTTTCCCCTCATCCCTAGAAGCAATATGGGGACTTCTGCCCCCCGCCAGCACCTCCAACAGCTGGAGACAACCACCCACAGCGGCCTTGCAGAACGCGGCCTGGGCGAAGGGAAGCAAGCCCCAACGCGCACCTAGGAATGCCGGGGGCTTCTCCTAACCGGCAGATTCCACCACTTCTCAGGGGAGCCGCTCTCTCGCTCCCGCAGGCCCCTCACCTTCCCCTGTGCCGCTGCCACCGACCGCTTCCCTGACGACGGAATGCGCAACCTCCTGTTCACTGCAGGGGGTTTACTTGTTTTCCTGGTTTAGTATTTATTGCTGTTTTCACGACCTCGGACTCGAAGTCCTTTCTGGCTCCAGCAGCCCGCAGCGGCAAGCGCGCCTCCTCTGCCCCTCGGCCTGGGCCTGCCGAGCGGCTCTGTCTGCCGCTCCCGAGATAACAGCGGTGCCTCGGGCCTCGCCTTCGTCGTGTGAGTGCAGAAGTGGGGACCTGTGGGTTTACCCCTCTGGAAAGAGGCACAGTTGTTACCACTTTGCTTCCTGGCTAGTTAGATGTGACGTTGCCCAAATCTTTATTATTTTTAATATGCCCTAGTTATGCAGTTGCAACTGCCCCACGCTGTGGTGGTTACAAACTTTGGTACCGCATAGGCCCTTGTAGGAGTTTGTTACTGGCTGCCTAGTTCAGGGGATTGTGGCACTTGCTGTTTATTGCGGCTACATGTTGTGGTTAGGTAGAAGAATAAATGTTAGTACTGTGGTTCTGTGCATAAAGATAGTAAAGCCATAGATTGGAGGCGGGGGAGATGTCTCCAGAGGGCTGGTTATTAATGCCTTGGAAGTGTTTCATAGTGTTACATATTCTCTTGAAGTGAATGACAATGCATAAATACAATACTGGAATAACAGAACCCAAAAAAGTGTTCTGCTGTGATTGTGGCAGTGCTGGGGTAGTCAGGGAATCATGGAACGGTTTGTGTTGGAAAGGCCGTTAAAGATCATCAAGTCAATGTAAACGCATTAATGCAGACAGTGGAGTTTTACTTACAAAATATGAATTTCACATTACTTCTGCAATCTATGCAAAACCAATTTTTGTGTATTTTGTGATTGTTAAAAATATTTAATTTTTTTTTTTCTGGATTTTGGCATAATTCCTGTACTAAAAATACTACACATTCTATCTACTAAGACTTGAGATTAAGTCTTCAGCAGATGTGATATGCAGAACTTGATTGTTGTTGTAGGTTGCCAAGCCAATTTGTTTATTTTCCTAGCTGAGGGAAGTTTTTCTCATTGAAATCAAATGTGAAGGCAGTAACTTTGGCTAGTATGTAAAATGGCAAATACACCTGAGTGGTAGAAAGAGGAATTGGTGCTTTTGCCTGGCCAAAATCACCCTGGTTTTCAGTGCTTGACTTTGAACCTCACTGTGCAGAGGTTAACATACAGCCTTTATCATTGGTCTAAAGTGCACTGTGTCTTTATGGTGCTTCCTGAATAGTCCTACTTTTTCAAAGAGGCAAGGTAATATCTAGAATGTATAAGAAAGATGCAGTGTGCTTCTCTTAGCTCATCTTCCAACCTGTAAAATGTGGAAAATTCAATGCCTTACATCATATGTATGTCAGAAGAGTAAACCATTTCTGAAGAACTCGGGTACTGCTTTCATGGAGATTTTTGCTGTCAAGGAGATTCATGCTTTCATGCGGTTCAGAACTTGGGTATTCTACAATACAGTAGGTGGTTTTGATGACTGGAAAAAAAATATAGCTTGATTTCAGCATTCAGTGAATACAGTCCAATTAGTCTGTCAGTAATCTGAGTCTTCATAATGATGGATTACTAAGGTCTTAATTTTAGAACAGGTTGTGTTCCTCATGGCCATGGCTAGGTTTCCATTCTTTTGCATGTGTAAGAATTTTTCTAGGACAAGAGTCCTTTATGTTTTACCTGTAAGCATGCCCTTTAGAGTTTCATGAGCCCATGGAGTCAGACATTTTAGAACCAATATTTATTAACTGTAGAGTTTTCACATTCTCAAAGTGTTAGTTGGATTTGCCCTTTTAAAGGAAAAAATATGTAGTAGTAATTCTTTGATCCTTGTTAGTCAAAATAAAAGACTTTATTGCTAACAGAATCAGTTACATACTTTGAAAGCATAAAGTTCATTACTGAGTTGTATTAAAGTCGTATCATAATGAAGAATGTCTTGATGGACATATGTCCTGGGTTCAGCAGTAGCAGTCATGTTTCTCCTTCTTGGTAGCTGGTGAAAACGCCCGATCTCGTCTGATCTCGATGGACTAGAAATCCATTGGGGTTTCCCCGCGCAGGTTCGAATCCTGCCAGCTATGGTGAACAGCTCAAGTACAGCAGCATCGTTAGAGAGTTCTGAAGGTTTTGAATGGCCTTTGGGTATCCTTGGGACCTGCCTGCTGATTGTGATGGGGATCAGCATGTTGGCACAAACACAGGCTGTGTTCTACCCACAACCATTTTGTCTGATCTCAAAAGTTAAGCAGAGTCGGGTTTGGGTCTTGCCTGGGGTTAGATGACGATACAGGGGGACCAAGAGATTTTCCCCAAGGCTGGACAGTCACGAGTGGTAGGGTGTGTGGGACAGTATGGGCAAGTATCTAGTCCACTGGGCCCCTCCAGTGCTTTGGAAGCGTCGGAGATGGAAGGCAGCTGTATGGAGTCCCCAGCAACAACCGTCAGAAACTGCTTAAGGGGACAGTGAATTATTTTAAGCCTGGTGGGCCCATGGCACTTCAGGCCATCAGAGCAGAGATGCAACATAGAGATGGACTCATGATCGAGGGGTGGACTTAGCAATGGACACTATTGCCCAGGTTATTCATGAGTGTGAACACTGCACACAGTCTCTCCTGCTCTGGAAGACTGTTACAAGAGATGGAGCCTGGCATCATGGACCAGATGGACGCAGCAGCTTTATAGCTACTGGTCCATGCACTTAGATAAGAGTGATGGTATATTGAAAATGTGGGATCTGAGCATGACGTGAATGGTATGGAATAAGGGGTGGATAATGTCCTGGGTTCAGCAGTAGCAGTCATGTTTCTCCTTCTTGGTAGCTGGTGCAGTGCAGTGTTTTGACTTTCGGCCTGGGAAGAGAGCTGATAGCGATGTTTTGGTTTGGCCAAGGACTTTGTGAGCCTCATGCTCTGCCAGGGAGGAGGGGAAGCCAGGAGGAAGCAGAGACAGGACACCTGACCCAAACTGACCAAAGAGGTATTCCATACCACAGCACGTCATGCCCAGGATGTAACTGGGAGTTAGCCGGAAGGGCTGGGAGTCTGCAGGGTTGGAGGATGTATCGGTCGGTGCTTGGTGGGGCTGAGGGGGGCGAGTTATCAGTTGGCTGGTGCTGAGGTGTTGCATTCTCTTCCCTTGTTAGTTCCTTTATCATTATTGTCATTGGTGGTAGCAGTAGTGATTTGTGTTATACCTTAGTTACTAAACTGTTCTTATCTCAACCCATGGGAGTTTCATTCTTTTTGATTCTCCTCTCCGTCCTTCCGGGAGCAGGGGGAGGGCAAGAAAGGGGGGGAAGTGAGCGAACGAATTACCTGACTGGGTTTAAACCACGACAACATATGACTTTATCTGGTATTTAAGGGAGAGTTACGAAGAAGTAAGAAAGGAAGCTGACAAGGGAAGTTAATTAGAGATACATTCTAAAACCAAGACACTGTATCAGACACTGCTTTAAATTTTTATTGTAATTGAAATGAAGCCTAATAATTTAAGGAGTTCATAGACTTATTTAATTAGAGCACTTTATATAGAGTTAGATGACACAAATATGGTTTATTGTGACCTTTGCTGTAAATCACGACCTTTGCAATCATGACCTTTGTATTAAAAGGACTGGGGAAAAAACTGCTACAGGTTTTCTGCTGTAATTCTCAAATCAATCATTGCTTTCTCTCTTTTTGTTTGTTTGTTGTTTTTTTTTTTGGTGTTTGTTTTGTTTTTGTGTTTTGTTTTTTTTTTTTCAACACACAGAATGTCAGTGACTGCTTACTGTGTATTTTGCTATAGACAAATAGGAACTATAGGAACTCCTGGTCCAGCCACAAAAACACATCTACCCTGGAATGATATCAGTAAGTACAGTTCTATATGTATTGATCTGAGGTGTTAATAAAAAGGAAAAAGCTGTGTTGATATGAACCCATGCATAATTAACTGATACTAAAGATCTAAATCCATAAATACTTTGTGATCAGGGTTTTTTTTTGGCCTGAAGTGGGTGTCTGCCTCTGACCTTGCTTTGCATAATGATATGTAAAATTGACTCTAGAAGATTATCTGGAATTAGAACTAAGATGAAGGTCCCCTCTCTAAATGCAATCTCCATTTTATATCTTATTTTTTTATAACTGTTAGAGCCATGAAAAGATTACATTCATAAACTATTAATAAGGTTGCAATAAAGTTTGTTCCTATCGTTTCTTTCTCCTTATTTAATGGTATTAATTCTGCAGTCTTTCCTACTTAGTGTCTGCTTTCTTCAGTGCCTTCTGTATAGGATGACAATTCTAATGACTCTAAGGGGGTTTTTTGAGCATTAAAAGATAGAATATTTATTTTTCTGCTCTACAGGAAGCATTGCAATTTTTTGCCTTTTCAACTTTCTCTGCCAGTTGTTTTTCAACATTTTCTGCCTCTTCTGTGCATGCAAAATTTTTACAGTTTCACAACCTGGTGGCAGTAGTTGGGAGGCAAATCTCCCAGTTCATGCTGAGGAAAAGAAATTATTCATGATAGGTGAGATGAGTTCCACTGGGTTTGCTGCTACTAGTAATAATGGGGTTTCTCTGTATTGAGATCCTATAATCCAGGCAAAATACTCAGATCTGACAGGAATTGCTGGATTTAAAAGGGAAATTATTGCAAGTGGCATGTTTTTATTCAGCTGTTTGCTTTATCTGTGAGATTCAGTGGTAATTTTTTTTCAAAACCTATTTTCTTAAAGAGGCTCTGCAGCACTTTTCAAAGAACATACATGCTCCTGTACGTATTCATATAAATTGAAGAAATATCCACCATTGGGTAACTCCTTAAAATGTTCTGAATGAATGCTAGTTGCACAGGCAGAGAAAGTTTACTGTTCGTGCCTGCAGCTCAGCAATGAATATAATTAATTGATGGGTGGCAGTACTTAAAGTAAATAGTACTGGCAGGGTACATGTTTTAGCGTCTTGCTTAGGAGAGCAGGAAATTCTGATCAATTATTGTTTTTCCTATTTGTAAATTTAGGTAACGATTCTCTGAAAGCCAGAGAGCAATGGAAAAGTTTAAAAAAGCTTATTCTTAGCGGCTGACATTCTTAGTGTCTGGTAATCAAATGCTAACTGTATTTATATTGAGGTGATGGACACAACTTTGTTTGACATGTATTTTTTGTTTATTTTCAAGGAAAAATTGCAAAGGTAACTGGATCACTGATACTTGGGTAAGTTGTAACGACAAGCATGCATGTAACTTATGAATTAAAATTTTAATTGTATTATGTGTATCTTTCAAAAAATGTAACAATGCTACAGGACCTTTAGACATAGTAGAATATAGCTTTGAAGCATATTTTCTGACAGTTATTACTTATTTTAATGTATTTTAGAGTCTTTACTTTGCTAAATTAAAGTAATATGTCAGCTATTACAAACTTGGTAAAATCTGCATGATAAATACCAGAGTGATTGTTAACATGTTTTTACCATAATATTTTTAAAATTAATGTTCATACACAGTTTTCTTTTATTTAAAGAGGCTTTGTATTCATTACGTATGAAGTCCTGTCCTTAAAGAAGTTACTGCGAATTGATACTCAAGCTCTACATCAGGAAAAACTTAAGTCCTATATATATGTACATACAGCTTCTCTAAATCAAAGTGAATATCAAGGTAAGATTTATAATTGGTTGGATCCTAAAAATAGCATATTAATGTTTCTGTCAGTCACCATTATATAAAGAAAATTATATTACCTGAGATTTGTTACAAAAATAGTGTTCTTCACAATGTCACCAAATTTATTTTAAACTAATAGCTGGTTTTTTAAGATAGTTCTATACATACAGTTCTCTGTATATTAGATACTTGTCGCTATGTGTGTCCGTATGTGTATGTGTGTGTATATATTTTTTCATATATATATATATATGGAAAATAATGTGAGAAAACTGTCTTTCAGTCTTCTAGTAATCTAAAAATTCTCTTGTAGGAATCACGTACAAAGCCAGAAAAGAAATCCATAAAGCAGTGAGGAAAATTCTAGAAACAGAAGCTAAATTTTTCCGGAGACCTTTTAAAGGTAGGTATTGAAAGCGTGGCTTTTTATCTATGATCACTATTTTTGAATAGTGGAACATCAGTTATTTAGAAAGTAAAGTAATTTTTCTTACAAAATTACCTTTTTTTTTTTTTGTTATTGAAATGGTGGTAATATTACTTACAATTTTCTATATTAATAGTAAATGAAAGTGATGTTTCAGAAGAGATTTGAGATTACTCGCTAATGATTAATATTCAGTTATTAAAAGAAACAGTTGTGGTGTGGTTTTTTTTTTCTTAACAAATAGAAACGTGACTGTTAAAATGCTCATTAATAATAACGTCTGCTTCATTTCTGTCCTGGTAAAAGAACAATTTAGTACATTTGATGGAGAAGATCATGAATGTGCCTTATGGCTTCTCTTAAAGAGAACTCAGTCAGAAGACAAAGAGGTCCGACTTCAGGCTGTACAAGACCTGGCAAACAACAGTCACTGGCATGGTAACGTATACAGATACAGCCTAATTCATCCCAGAAACGGAAGTGTCTCAGCTGTTTCAGGTCTGCTGCCAACAAAAGCTAGGAGCTGCAAAAAGTGTAAATACTGTCTGAAATTTGGTCTAAAATGTGAGGGGTTTATTTATATCTCAAGCAATCATTCTTTCCTTATACCCTGGTACAGAGTGTGTATCTGCAGTACAGGCCTCTCTCTGTTTCCCCACCAGACAATTGCACCCACTGTTGTGCACTGCTGTGATGTGGGAAGGCAGTTCATGTTCATTAATTCCTTGTTTTCAGCTGGGACTGCTAGCACGGTCACAAGTCCTGGCAGTGATTTTTATAAGGCTCTGTAAGAGTGACTTCAAGGCCATGGTTAAGTTAATAAAAATTGATTAGTAGCTGATAGGTAGTAATAGCAAAGTAGCAATGAGAAAATAGAGGACTTGTATGTGCAAGTATTATTTGTAAGCCATTTTCCATCTTAGTTGTTATTTAATAGTAATGAGCTCTCCCTGTTGCTCTAGCAGCAAATATCCTTGAAACCCCAAGTAAAGGGGGTGTTTGTGAATATGTTTGGCCTCTTCCCCCCCCTCCATCACTAGTCCACATAAGCTAGGTGTCACTAATCTTCACTCTCATTATTGTGGTAACTAGATCAGCTGAGGACCTTTCACTCTTGCAGTGCTTTATAGGATTTATCTTGTTTCAGGTTACCTCTTTAAAATTCTAATTAATTTCCTCAAGAAATTTACATCAAAAAGCTGTATTTGAAAACATTTGAAAGTTAGGATGTACCAAAACTGAAGCTTTGTATACTAATTTAGTATAACTGTCTCCTGTTTATGGGAGAATATCTGTTAGCAGGTGATCTCAGGTCTTAGTGCACAAGATGGCCAGTACTCAGGAATTTAGTTGCTTTTGCTGTACTTTTTTATAGTGCTCATTGCTGTAGTATTTGGGATTTTCAAAAACACCAATTATTCTTGCTAGCTACCTCATGAAAGAAAATTTTTTTAAGCTGGTAATTCCAGAATGGAGTCCAAGAAAGATTAAGACTGAAAGTATGTGCTAACTTTTCACAGCTAAGACCAAATTGTTCAGCATGTCTGTTAACATAAGTAGAGTATTTTGCTTGTCCAAAAGGCAGCTTTGGTGACTTCAGTTTGCAGCTGTAAATATTCTGCACCAAATTACAAAGTATGACTGATCTCTGACTGTGAAAATTATATTTTATATGGCTTGGCAGTTTTGTTCTAGAATTGTATAACAGTAACAAAGATAGAAAGAAATTTTATAAAAAGAAAATATTATTCCCATTTGAGGGTGGTTTTTTTCTTTTTCCCTTTCATTTTGCTACTCAGTGTCAGTATGTAATTTCACATTTTTCCAGCTATGAAGTAGGTAGGATTTGGAAAGGAACATTCCACAAAAGGTGGAAGCAAGGACAGGCAGCCTGGGAAGAATACAGGGATATTGTCTGGGCAGCTAGGGACCAGTTAGGAAAGTTAAGGCCCAATTAGAATTAAACTTGGCTAGGGATGTTAAGGGTAACAAGAAGGGATTCTATAGGTACGTAGAGAATAAAAGACAGACTACGGACAACACGAGCCCCCTCCAGAACCTATCAGGAGAATTGACTACCCTGGATTTGGAGAAGGCTGAGGTTCTGAATGACTTCTTTGCCTCGGTCTTCACTAGCAAAGGCTCTGACCACACCACCCAAGTCTTGGAAGGCAGATGCAGGGACTGTGAGAATGAAGACCTTGGGCCCACTGTAGGAGAGGTTTGAGACCATCTTAAAAATCTGAACATGCACAAGTCCATGGGACCTGATGAGATCCATCCGTGGGTCCTGAAGGAGCTGGAGAATGAAGTTGCTAAGCCGCTGGCCATCATATTTGAGAAATCATGGCAGTCAGGTGAAGTTCCCGACGACTGGGAAAAGGGAAATATAACCCCATTTTCAAGAAAGGGAGAATGGATGACCCGGGGAATTACAGACCAGTCAGTCTCACCTCTGTGCCTGGCAAAATCTTGGAGCAGATTCTCCTGGAAGGCGTGCTAAGTCACATGAAAAACAACAAGGTGCTTGGTGACAGCCAGCATGGCTTCACTAAGGGGAAATCCTGCCTGACCAATTTGGTGGCCTTCTATGATGGGGCGACAGAACTGATGGACAGGGGTAGAGCAGTTGATGTCATCTACCTGGATTTGTGCAAAGCGTTTGACACTGTCCCACACAACATCCTTGTCTCTAAATTGGAGCGACATCAATTTGATGGATGGACCACTGGGTGGATAAAGAACTGGCTGGATGGCTGCACACAAAGAGTTGTGGTCAATGACTCAATGTCCAGCTGGAGATCAGTAATGAGTGGTGTCCCTCAGGGATCGGTGTTGGGACCGATCTTGTTTAACATCTTTGTTGGTGACATGGACAGTGGGATTGAGCGCGCCCTCAGCAAGTTTGCCGATGACACCAAGCTGTGTGGTTCAGTTGATACGCTGGAGGGAAGGAATGCCATCCAGAGGGACCTTGACACGCTTGTGAGGTGGGCTGATGCCAGCCTCATGAAGTTTAACCATGCCAAGTGCAAGGTCCTGCACCTGGGTCGGAACAGTCCCAGGCACAGCTACAGGTTGGGCAGAGAAGGGATTCAGAGCAGCCCTGTGGAGAAGGACTTGGGGGTGTTGGTCGATGAGAAAATGAACATAAGCCGGCTTCAGTGTGTGCTTGTAGGCCTGAAAGCCAGCTGTGTGCTGGGCTGCATCAAAAGGAGCGTGACCAGCAGCCTGAAGGAGATGATCCTGCCCCTCTACTCTGCTCTCATGAGACCTCACCTGGAGTATTGTGTGCAGTTCTGGTGTCCTCAACATAAAAGGACATGGAACTGTTGGAACAAGTCCAGAGGAGGGCCACGAGGATGATCAGGGGACTGGAGCACCTCCCGTATGAAGACAGGCTGAGAAAGTTGGGGCTGTTCAGCCTGGAGAAGAGAAGGCTGCGTGGAGACCTCATAGCAGCCTTCCAGTATCTGAAGGGGTGTATAGGGATGCTGGGGAGGGACTCTTCACTAGGGACTGTAGTGACAGGACAAGGGGTAATGGGTTAAAACTGAAACAGTGGAAGTTTAGATTAAGTATAAGGAATAAGTTCTTTACTGTAAGGGTGGTGAGGCAGTGGAATAGGTTGCCCAGGGAGGTTGTGAATGCTGTTCAAGACCAGGTTGGACAGAGCCTTGGGTGCCATGGTTTAGTGTGAAGTGTCCCTGCCCATGGCAGGGGGGTTGGAACTAGATGACCTTAAGGTCCTTTCCAACCCTAACTATTCTATGATTTTATGATTCTATGATTAGTTACTGTTTAAATCTGGTAGGGTTACTGAAAGTCGGTCTTGTATCTTCTGTAACAATTTTACTGAAACGTGTATTTTGTATCATTTAAAATTACATGTCTCTGTCTTTGCAGCATGTGGATTTAAGGCTGGGTTTTAATACTGTATGAAGAAAAAGGTATGCAGGGTGCCTTTCAAATTGTAACTGAAGCCCAGGTGTTAAGCTTGGGTTTGTAGTTCTTGTATTCCTTTCAAGGTGGCAATACTGAATGTTTGCTTTTGTTTGGGTTCATCTTCTATCTGAGAACCATTATCAGACTGGTCTCTAATGAACGGTTAGTGCCCAGGTGTATTTCAGCTCAGTATAGTGCTAGTCTAACATCTGCAATTTTTATCTTTAGGAATTTGTGATTACAAAATTGCAGAGAGGTTGCTCTTTTTTCAAGTGTATTTACAAAGTAGATCAGAAACTACATTTAAAACCAAATGAAATACTTAAGTATAGTTTTAACTGTAACACTCAAGTTCTTGTACTACAGGTTATCAGTATGGTACAGTTGCCCAAACCTGTGATCAAAGGACTACTATAGGGTTGGCTCGATCCAAAGATATCAACCTTCGTTTTTTCCTGCCTCCGCCACCATTGCCAGAAATAAAGAATGTAAGTAAATGAAAAGCAGGTATTAGATGGCTTTTGCTTGCTTGGTTGGTTTTAGTGCTTTTGTTGTTGGTAACTATACTGAAGTGAGTTCTTCTAAAGTAAGTAATAAAGTAGTAAAATTGAGACCAAAATACAAAACTTTATACAAAACATATATTGATACACCCCTGGGGTCATCCTAGATTGCCTTGTTGTAGTGGTTTAAACCCAGCCACGCAGCTTATTCACTCACTTCCCCACTTATTGCCCTCCCCCTGCTCCCGGAGGGATGGGGAGGAGAATCAAAAGAATTCAACTCCCATGGGTTGAGATAAGAACGGTTTAGTAACTAAGGTATAACACAAATCACTACTGCTACCACCAATGATAATAATGATAAAGGAAATAACAAGGGAAGAGAATACAACACCTCACCACCTGCCGACCGATAATTTGCCCCCCCCCCAGCCTCACCAAGCACCAACTGATACTTGATCCAACCCCGCAGTAAGCTAGCCCTTCTGGGTAACTCTCAGTTACATCCTGGGCATGATGTGCTGTGGTATGGAATACCTCTTTGATCAGTTTTGGTCAGGTGTCCTGTCTCTGCTTCCTCCCAGCTTCCCCTCCTACCCGGCAGAGCATGAGGCTCAGAAAGTCCTTGGTCAGTCTAAACATTTGAGCAGTAACTAAAAACATCGGTGTTATCGGCACCGTTCCCAGGCCAAAAGTCAAAAACACAGCGCTCCACCAGCTACCAAGAAGGAGAAAAAATGACTGCTACTGCTGAACCCAGGACACTTGTCGATATTGACAGACTCCTACATGTAGAGAGCTTTTCTGGAGGCTTTTGCATCCTCAGTGCCAGTGTAAGTTTCTGCTGTAGGCCCACTTCTATTGCCAGCTTTTGGTTACCAACAAATCTGTATTGGATAAATTTGGCCTTGGTTTGTTTTTTATGGTCATTAGTAAATATATATATATATAGATATGGTGGTTTGAGCAATCGTCATCATATCAGCTTCTTCAGTAAACAGAATTGGCACATAAAGCATAATATCAAAGGGTTTTTGTAATGCTAATAGAATGAATGCTGGCAGAAGTCCCTATCAGAAAATACCTGTAGATCTTAACTGATGAAACTCTGAAAACCAGCTTTCATTGGTAGAGATATTCTCAGCTTTTGCTTGCTTATCTTTGTAACATTACAGGATAGTGGATATGTACCTGTCAGTCCTGAAGTACTAGGTTGTACTAGTGTATGGTTGTATATATACTCTATTTTCCTGTCATCTACTCTGATTATTAAATGAACATCTATATGAATATTTTGAAGATAAAAGATTAAAAGAACTGTTGTCTGTATTTTCTATTAGTAATTTATGCCTCCATTTTAATGCAGCAGCACCAAAATTACTGTGTAGTTAAGGGTGAACTTTTAAGCTTCCCGTGCCGAGAAGAATGTTTTTTTTCTTTTTTGGACCTATATAGAATAAGGCCATGAAAGTATGAAGTTTAAAGCTTGCTTTTCATCACTCAGATGGTGGCTTTAGAATTACCAGTTTCCAAAGTCTTTACAGGTGTAATATAAAACCAAAGTTGCAGAGCACTTAAGTGCAGGGTTTGTGGTTTGTGGCCTTATTAATATGGGTGATTTCATTATTTCAGGTATCTTTTTTTTCTCTGTGTTTTGCTTCATGCTTTGAACAGAACTAAAAGCTATTTGTGCTTATTTGTCACAGGATTATACCATAGAAGATGAACTTCGCCTGTTGTTAGTATCTTTACCTCAGACTGATCTTGATCCATGTGTCCAGCACTTCACATCTCTTGCTTTACGTGAAAGTAGCCAGATTCTCGCTGCACAAAGGGTGAGTTCCCGCCTGCAGAATAGAACTAGTTGGGTTCTTTGTTCCTTCAGAGTTCAAAGATACAAACCTGTTTTCATATTTTTGAGTGTTGCAGGAGAAGGAGACTTTGTGACTGTACAACATAAATAAAATCTCTTCTACACACAGTCTGTCTGCTTGAAAGCTTGTTTATCTTTCCCAGCTCTACTGGTTGGTCTAGTGAAAGATTATATGTTTTCTTACAAGCCTTCCCATAAAGCAGGTATTTCAGTATTTTGTCCAGAACATTTCCTTCCCTTGCAGTGCTCATGAAATGATTTTTCACGTTTCATCTTACCTGTTGTTTGGATATTCTTTCACTGCTGAGATGATTAAACCTCTTTTAAGCTTACTAGCAAACTGATAAATTGTTAGCACACCTTAAATAGTAAACTCTCTTATACCACATGGAAATGCCTCCCTGTAACAGGTCATTGTTGCCAAAACCAGAATTTAAATAGTCTAGCAGTCTGTTTGTACTTGGAAACTAGGAACTTTCTTCAACTCTGTCCAACAATTTCCTAAGTGGCTTTAGGAATGTCATTTAAAGGGCTGTTATTGCTTAAAAATAATAATTATAATCCCAGTGTAATCCACTATTGTATTTTGCATTTTATTTTTTTATTTAAAATTCATGACTGTTTAATCAGTGATAATTATTTTTTATAAGGCGCAGTCGTAAAAATTACTGTCATGTTTTAATAATGATGCCTGCCAGGCTTTGTTTAGAGATTTCAGAGTGCAATAACTATTTCCTATGACACAGTTATGTGTAATATTTTTGCATTATCACCCCTTATTGTTTTTATACTGCGTCCTCTTGTTTTAAAGAGAGTTCTAGTAAGACACCATACTTGGAGGCATTTTGATAATCATGATGTTCTAGAAAATTGTTTTTTATTGAGGTTATGCTGGTCTTCCTATTGCATGGTTGAGAAAGACTGGTCCTCAGAGACCTTGCTACGTGTTGAAGACCTTTTTTCCTCCTTTTCCTCCTCTTTATTGCAGCTATGCAAATCTAGATACAGTATGGATCTTGCTTTTTTTATGCTTGAGCAAATGATCTTGAAAGAAGACATTCATCAACAAAATGAAAATCATACATTTTGCCCCTTAATTTATGTTTTGAAGCTAATAGACTATGGAGACTACTGACTAGAAATCTAGTTAATATTTTTAGTTTGAAATACTAGATATTGTGTACTGTTGTGTAATTTGTATGTTTTGAAAAGTGCATGCATGCTGCGTACTCATTGTAGAAATTTCTATGGACCATTACAAACTTAATGTTTTAGTTTATAAATGCTGATTTTTTTGTAGCCATTTGGAATGTGGTATAATTTTTACTGATTCTCATTTCAGGGAGGTTTATGGTGTTTTGGAGGCAATGGCCTTCCATATTGTGAGACACTGAGTAAGATCCCTTCAGAGACAGTGGAACTCTTCTGCTTGCAAGCTTTAGTACAGCATTCTAAGGTAATTTGTCCTTTAAGCTATAACTGAAAAGCTAGACTTACAAACATTCTGTTCTAATGCTCTCATATATTGGGAAGGAGTTGCCATTTCCTTGTCTCCTATCCCTTACCGCTTCTGTAAGGATATTCAAACAATCAAGACTGGTGAGAATTGGAAGGCAGCATGACAGACTCATTTTTTTTTAATTGGAAGTGAATGTAAGTTCTTTTGTTTCTAATTAGCCTGTATAAGTTCCACTGTGGTATACTTGTATGTATCTTTCAAAAAGTTAAGAGAGCTCTGACACAGAAAAGCAGGGGAGAATGCCTCAAGTCCAGAAGTCTTTTTCTGTTTAGGGCTACCTCCCACTGACACTGTCATTATTTGAGATAGACATTATGAGGCTCTGCAGCTTCTCAAGTAAGTGAGATATTGGTAATACGAAATTCTCAGTGCAAAGTATGTGTGGATTTGTCTAAGTTGGTGTACATTAATTCAGAAATCTTACAAGTGGTCTCTTAGTGCTCTTAGTCTAACTGTAGTGTCAGGTTTCTAGAAAGCAGAGTAGCTTCATGAATTCATTTTAATCAAGAGTCAGAATGAAATGCAAACCTTGGCTTTCAAAAAAAGACCTTCTTCCAGGGGTCATTGCTTTTGGCAGAACAATGCACAGCATGCACCTAATACAATGCATCTTTCCAGGGCCAGTCTGCTGTTTGCACATCTCTCACAGATACAGAGTATGGAAGACTTCGTGTAGCAGTGATTCTTCTTGTTCCCTATTGGTGTACTCTTCTGTGTGTGCTTAATTGCTCAGAAGCCTGGAACACTGAGAAACAGCATTGAGAATGCCAAATTGTTATTGGCAGTAGGCATGGATAAAGAGCAGCTTGCCAGTATTCCTTGTTCATCTTCCATATACATAGAAATTCTGACTCAGTCTAGAACTTCTTATACTCCAGATTTTCAGTTTAAACAAGTTGTGACTGTACTAATTCCAAATGTGTGTGTGTCTGTTGAAAGCCACAGACTTGAGGACATCAGCATATAACTACGATGCATTTTCAAGCACTGTAAAGAACATGTTCAAGTCAGAAGCATTTGGCCAATATCAGTAGTTACCACAACAACTAATTAGTGTATATTCATCTGCTTGGACTAGAATTTGTTATCGCACTTAAGATCAGTAATAGTAGCAGCGCTGCATGGGATGTAGACATATCTTTGACATACCATTCAAAGAGAAGGGATTATAATGATTCCATTTTACATGGTGAACAGGAAGAGAGGTAGCTAGGGTTGAGATACTGCTCTAACAAATGGAGATAATTATCCTGTTCAGACTCTTAAACTTTTGTTGAAGTTTGATCACATCAAGTGGAGAGCTATCTCATCTCTCTCAAATGTGGAGGAGAGTAGAGTGATGATACTCAGCATCTTTCAGGTTGTTAATCCATAGAAATCATATGTTTAGCATATTAAAATACTTACTTTATTTTCAACTACGGCATAATACATTCTAGATTCATAAGAATTTCTACATTTTAAGGGCTCGGCATCATTCAGACTCCCTAATATGTGAATTAACGGCATCTCGACCTTTTGCAGAATGTCTATTTACTGTCATTGTATTTACTGTATTTACTAGGTTTCTTCTCACTGTGATAAAATTGAAGCTAAAGGAGGCCTTCAGTTACTACAGAGGATATACCAGCTGCGTAAAGATTCAGCAAAAATACAAAGGAACATAATTCGCATTATTGGAAATATGGCTTTAGATGAACGTCTTCATGCTTCCATAGTACGTGCAGGTAAAAGGAAAGCAAGTGCAAGCAGTTTGAATGTCAGGTTTCTATTCTAAAATTTTGGAGGATGCAGTGCTTTTTTAAAATACAAAGGATGATGGTAGTGGTGTGGTTTTTTTTTTATTTGTGAGGGTGGGGAGGTGGTGCTATTGTTTTTTTAGTACAGAAAGTATAGACAGCTTAGGTGGTGTTGATCAAAAAGTCCTGTATGCTGTCTGGCCAACATACGTCAGTGCTGCAGAGGTGTGCTAAGTCTGATGGATGGTGATAGGCTGGACTTGATTGATGTTCAGTTTACATGACTGGCAAAGATCTGAGTTTTCTTCTCTTGCAGATAATTTTTCTTTTAATTGACTGTGTTTTAATCTTGTAAAGGAACAGAACAGCTTGTAGTCCATAGCTTTTGGAACAAAGTGAAACATACCTTTCCACCCTCTCTTGTTTCATGTTAGGCTAGGAACTTCTGCTAAGCTTTGCTCTGATGCCCCTTTTTAATGCCCCTAATTATCACAATTAAATTTTTGTACCAAATAAATAATTCCCAATGTTTTATTAGGAAATAAAGAATAAGAAAAATAGAAGATACCAGTATGCTGTTGTATAAATCTGAGCTGTTGTCTGCCTCTTAAACACATTTTTAATCTGCTGTTGCAAAAAGGAGAAGTAGCAAAGGCACAGGGAAAGACCATGAGGGTGATAAAAAATTTGGAATGACTGTGGTATAAAGAACAAATAACTAGAATAGGACACTTAGTATGGAAAAAGCGACTGAAGGAGAATTTGACCAAGATTTATAAAATCCTCACTAGCGCAGAGAATGCAAAGAGGGAATGCTCATCTGCTGTTTCTTGTCATGCAAGACCAAAGGTTCTACACACAGAAGCCAAGTTGGCTGTGGAAGCCTGAAAGAATATAATGGAGAATCAGCCCTATATACTTGTCATTTTATTGCTCTATTCCTTTATTGTTCTGCAACTTCCATTACTACTTATTTTTGGGGAAAGACAGCTAGACTACAAAGGCCTTGGGTCTGAGCTTTAGTACCTTTCTTGCTTTCTGATATGATGGCTGATAGGGTGACTGCTAAAACTGTATGTATAGAGGAAGAGGTTGTAACAGAAAAGTCAGCAGCTTCCTGGGGCAGAGCTCTCAGTATAAATGGGATTTTAGACAGTGAACCAGACTCCAGAGTTGAGCAGTTGTATATTGCTGGTTAAGAGTTGATAAAACTACTCTTTTCTTGCTGGATGATGTGCAAGAAGCAAGAACCTCTAAGGCTCTTTTCCTTTGCAAAAGCTGTGACACAGGAAGAGAAAGAAAAGCAATGTTGCTTTTCTTCTGTATTAGCTGTAATAAGGCATCTGAGGGCAGAAGGATTCTGAACACTATTTTTGACTCTTCATCTTGGCTCTTATAAGAGAAATGCAAAAGCAGAGACCTTGCTAATTTTAATTGGACTAGCTTGGCCGTCTTTTATTGTATTTGGAGAACTGAAAATAGATTATAGGTAGTGTTCTTAAGGAGAGCTTTCACAGGAGTCAACGTTTATTCTGTTTAGAAATTTATTTTTGATGTTACCATTCTTAAATTTTGACATCTGTTTTCACAAGTATAGTTTGAAGTATGATGTTTCTGAATTCTTTTGTTTGGATGATGTTTCTATTAGTTAACCTGCCACTTTATTTTTTCAATGTAGGTTGGATTTCTGTACTTGCTGAAGTAATGAAATCCCCACATGTCATTCAGTCTTCTCATGCAGCCAGAGCTTTGGCTAATCTAGACAGAGATGCAGTGAAAGAAAAGTATCTAGATGGTGTTTATGTTTTACATCCACAATATCGCAGCAGGTAAAGTGGAAGGAGATAACTGTACATGTTGAGTTACTTGTACATGTTGTACTTTCAGTTGCTTGTTAAACTCTTTAGTTAAAAAACTTTGAAAGAGCTGACATCAGAGTGCTGCTGTACTGATGTCACCTGCTCCTGCTGTTCTTTGCTGGATTGAGAGGACTGAATATAGATTCTCAAATAGGAGAACAACAGAAGTGGTTGGAGCAGTCCATGACTGTAAAAGTATTATTGTACTGCAGGAGAAATCTGAACAGAACACAAGATGAATTACTGCTTTTCATGCATTACAACCATGTAACCTTTGTGCTTGCTGTCTCGGGATAATTATTTTGCTGGCAGCAGCACATGTTGGCTTAAGATGCAGTAAATTTACAGCTGCAGCTTCTTTTAATAGTGATTGTATATCTGGGGCTGAAGCAGTCTCCAATGTGGTGTGTCACTTAGTCGCAACTATTCCCGGTGTTATTGGTGTTAGTTACAATAAGGATGTAATTTCACGATAAAGCTGGAACTACCAGGTTGCATTAAAAGTAGCTGGAGAGAATGCTGGTTTTCATTATAGAAAAATATGACTTGTGAGCTGGTATTTTCCATAGTTCTTTTTATATCTCTCTCTTCTGGGTGGATCCCTTTTTTTTGTCTGGCTCTGAGTATCCTCTTTGAAATATCATGAAATGTCATGAAATGTTTACCATAAGATGTCACATATAGTGCTGAAAATAGAATTTTGTCATCCCTTAGGTTAAAAGTGATGTGTAAATTTTACTTGCTAAAAGAATATGTACCATGCAGCAATTAGAAATTCCTTTTTCTGTATCAGTCAGCCCATCAGAGCAGACATCCTTTTTGTTCATGGTCTTTTGGGAGCAGCATTTAAAACCTGGCGACAGCAAGATATTGACCGGCGTTTGGATAAAAAAGCTTCTGAAGGACAAGAGGAGTATAGTCAGTGCTGGCCAAAGGTAAAAGACAACAACATTCTCATTAATTTCTCATGAATGAGAGCTGTCCAGAGGATCTAGAGTTACACTGTCTGCAGTTGTCTTTTTTAAATCAAATTACTTATAATGTGTTATACAAGTAGCACTTTTCAAGTTCCTGATATATTTTTGTTAGTAAGCTGAAATCTTGAGCAGGTTGTTCTTGCAATGAAAATCCCTGCTAACTTTAAGCCTCCAACATCATTCTTCTGCTATGGAATGTTATTGCTGAGAAAAAAATATACATAAAATTAATTTTTAATTATAATTTCTTACATAGGTGTCTGAGTACCTCAGATTTTGCAGATTGCTACTTAAATATTTTTGATAAGTAATTAGTGCTTCAAGCAACTCACATTGGTGTAACCACCAAAGTATCTCTGTAAACTGATCAGTGCTGTTGGTAATGTTAGTAATTTTTGTTTTACCCAGGAGAGGGAGCCAGGAGTGCACAAGTTAGTAATCTATCTGCATCCTTTGCCTACTTTGTGGTTGGGGAACACGGTAGAGCTCGGCAGTGTGGTATGAAAGAGTAATAGTCTTAAGTGTAAGATATATTTAGGGATTAACTGAAGAGCAAATATCTTGCTTGATATTGTCCCCATAGTAACATCTTTGCTCCATTCTGCTAAATTGCCTACAAGAGTTTAAGTACTTCAGTTATAAGCTGCTTTGGTTTTGCTTTTCTTCAATTTAGACATGGCTGGCTTCAGACTGTCCTGCCCTTAGAGTCATTTCTGTGGAATATGACACTGATTTGAGTGACTGGAAAGCAAAATGTCCTGTTGAAGCTCACAGGTAACATATGTAATGTCTGCAGTTTGGAAGTGAGGGAGACATGTAAAGCCGAACCTTGGGATCACCTAGTGTGAAACTAAATTTAATTTTTCCTGTTGGATTTGAAAATGATTTTGGAAAAACATTAGGTACAGTCATGATATGCTTGAGCTTTGTAGCCTTACAGGTAACTACTTGTGCCAACTTCCTAAATTCTTACAGTCTGTTCTTCATGTTTAAGGGAGACACTAGATAATGCTGTTAGTTGATGTAAATGTAACATTAGTTTTATATCTTAAGGGGAATATTTCCTAAAATGCCCCACTAATGCTTCATAAGCCCAGCAAAAAAATCCCAATGACTTTATCCTCATGATAAAATGAAGTGTATCATTTTCATAGAAGTTGGAAAATACCTTTAAGATCATTGAGTCCAACTGTTAACCCAGCACAGACAAGTCTTCCAGTAAACCATCTCCTGAAGTACCACATCTGCACATCTTTTAAATATCTCCAGGGATGGTAACTCAATCACTTCCCTGGGCAGCCTTTTCCAATGCTTGACAACAAGAAGGGCAACAAAAATAATAAAGAGTCTAGAGCACAAGCCTTAGGAGGAATGGCTGAGGGAACCGAGGTTATCTAGCCTGGTGAAAAGGAAGCTCAGGGGAAACCCTCTTGCTCTCTACAGATACCTGAAAGGAGGTTGTAATGAGGTGGGGGTCAGTCTCCCAAGTAACAAGTGGTAGGACAAGATGAAACAGCTTCATGTCATGCCAGGGAAGGTTTAGATTGGATATTAGGAAAAAAATCCCTCACTGAAAGGATTGTCAGGCATTGGAACACACTGCCCAGGGAAATGGTTGAGTCACCATCCCTGGAGATCTTTTAAAGATGTGGCACTTAGGGACATGGTTTAGTGATTGACTTGGCAGTGCTGAGTTTACAGTAGGACTTGGTAATCTTAAAGGTCTCTTTCAACCTAAATGAAAAAGTGAACATTTTTCCTGTGTCCATCTGGAATAACTTTCATGTAAGAAGACTTGAAAAAGGAATATATATCTATTTATTTTAAGATAATGTCTTTTTTATTACAAAGTGGGAAATCACATTACCTGCTGTTATTACACCTGCTATTTACAGGTCACCCAAGCATAGTATTTGATTAATTTCTAATTGTATATGGTTAATCAAAAAAGAAATATATTTAAAGATATTGGTATTTTTAACTATCAAGAGCAAAGATGTAGAAGTAGAATCACAACCTTATGATTGCTCTAAATGCATGAGCTCTAACAGGCTCATTCACTGTCCTAAAAGTGAATTATGTCTCTCAGCTATCCTAAAACCTATTGTTCAGCTGAAAAGACACCTGAGTGGCCTTTTCATATGTGTTATAAAGCAATTTCTAGTGAGAATGCTGAGAACCAGTAGAGATGAAGTGAATTACTTTGCACAGTGGTTGCCCCAATATCCTGATGATTTCATTATCAAAGGGTCTTCTATGTTCAATTCTTGTGGACACTGCAAAGAGTAACAATGTTGCACTTTGAAGCTTGGATTGGGAATTGTCATTGGTTTTGTTTTGGTTGTACCACAAGTGCATTTTCAACCTCTAGCATGTAGCTTATACTTTTCAGAGCTCGGTCTCTTAATTTATAAAGTGGAGAATTATTGTGCTTTTATACTATTCCAGCGCAAAATATGTGGAGATTATTGTCTGGAAAGTATAGCAGACATTGTCTCTGATTTTTTCAAGTGTGTTTGGTGGTTGATCATGTACGTTGCTCCGCATTGTGAGTATTTTTTAGTTAGCAACATACATTTTTGCTAGACATTAGGTATATTCTTGTTTCTGTGAATAAAGTCCATTATGCATTAATGATGCTTTCATAAAATGAAAACATACTTTTGTTAAAATGTGTAAATGAAACTATATAAGACATCATAAAAAGATCTTTTGAACTAAAAGGAAATAGATGAGTAAATTAAAAGAAAACTTTCTAGCAAGATCAGAAAATTGCATTTAGCTTAATTCCTGATGTCTTTGTGAAGCCAACCTTACAAAACTTTTTGGCATTTTCTAGTGTAGCAGCAATAATTAAGTAATTAATGTTTTGTGTACTTAATTCATTTTCATTAATGTGCAGCACTGCAAATTCCTTCTGTTTTAACATGGCCTTTTAACCTGTCATGCTTCATCATGCTTCTGTTTGTTTTTTCTTTGCAGGAAGTCTATTGCTTACAGGAGCAATGAGCTTCTTGACAAGCTCAGAGCTGCTGGAATTGGAGACAGACCTCTGGTGTGGGTATCACATAGCATGGGTGGTAAGCACATTGCCTGTTTGATACAAAGTATTTCTTTGCTGTTATGTTTCAGAATAAGCTGTTGAACAGATTCAGTCTGAAATGCCATTACTCGGAGTAGTTTATCAAAAAACATTTGCAAAAAATGGAAAATAGATTTCTTCTTTCTTAATGCATTGTATTCATCAGCATATGCATTTTGAAAGGATTTTTATTGCTGTTTGTTTTTACTGTGTTGATTTAAAAACATGAAATCAATGAGTTGAAATTCATGTAAATGGGAACCCAGAGGCAAAATTTTCTCCATGATCAGACATATAGTGAGTGTCATTAGCAACACTTAAAGCAAACCATAAATGGCTTTGCATCGTTCATTGATACTTCATTTTAATGCCTCCTCAGGTTTTGTTTGTGGTTTTTTTGAGCTTAATCTTACATATTTGACAAACTAAGGGCTAATCAGCTGAGGCAAGAATATGGTTAGTTGTTTCATGGATAATGTAGCGTGATCATTATTTTCACAGTGGTTTAAATCCCTGCATTAATTCAGTTTCTCTTGCCAGGTCTTCTAGTCAAAAAGATGCTGGTGGATGCTTCCAAGAATCCAGAAATGGAGAAAATTGTAAAAAACACCAGAGGAATCATATTTTATAGTGTACCTCACCATGGTTCCCAGCTGGCTGAATATTCTATGAATGCCAGATATCTTCTCTTTCCGTCTGCAGAGGTTAAAGAACTCAGCAAGGGTATGCTTGCTTTGCTACCCTTTCACAGCGGGGGTCTATGCTAATCCATCCAGGAAGCTTCTTTTTTTAATCATGCTGTCAGAAAAAGCTGGATAAAAAACATGTTTTAATGTTGTGGGTTGAGTGTTGAATTTTGAGTAACTTTCATTTGATTGCAGAGATGAGGGGGGAAAAAAGGGAGTCAGAACTGGTTTATAGTAGTATGAGCCGTTTAGCAATGTAGGAATTCAACATATGCTGGACTTCAGACCCTTATCTTCTAAACAAATTCCATGCTAAGCACAAATAAAAAATTGTTATATGTGATAGCTGGGAAAAAACGATTAAAAGCAAAATGCTACTTCTTTTTCTGGAGTACTGATTTTTCCAAAACATCTCTAGGAATGCAGTCTAGGCAAATGCTGTAATCTTATGTTCAAGATAACGCTGCACAAATTATGTTGCTCTTTCTCAGATTCTCCTGCCCTTAAAGAGCTGAATGATGACTTCCTGTCTCTTGCCAAAGATAAGAAATTTTCAGTGCTGAGTTTTGCAGAAACCTTACCAACACACATAAGTAGTATGATAAAACTGCACATTGTGCCTCTGGAATCAGCAAGTAAGTCAAATAGCCATTTAATTTATTTTATTTTGTATATATTCATGTAAGCATCATTAATGAGGAAGGATTAGAAATGCTATGGTAGGAAGACCTGGGAAAAAAAAAAAAAGCATCTGTTACGCTGTGGTTTTTTTTGTTTAAACTTTTGGCTCAGTTTAAATTACAGTTTTCCTGCTAAGATCAGAGGCAGCTACATTTATATCTTAGAATAGCAATTGTTTGTTTTGATTTCTCTAACTGTGAGGAACACTTGTTGAAAAAACCCTGGTCTGAGGTTACATTGTTATAGTCTGTTGTTTTGTAATTATGGGTAACTATTGTTTATTCTTGTATAGATAGGCTGAATAGAGTTTTATAAGGTCCCATGAATTTCAGCTATTTCTTCCTTTAGAAAAAAAGAAAGAAAATTAGCGAACTGCTAATGGAAAAAACTGTTTTTCAGTGTGAAGAATGCCATTATTTTCCGTATCTCAGGTATTCAAGCAGTAGTTTGCCTCCTGAAGAGTTTTTCCTCCATCTTTTTGCCTTTTGGAGAAGGGAAAACCAGGCAGTTCTTTCTCTTGCTTTGTTCATGGGTGTTCAACCTGGAGAATTTATTTAAGTCTGGTATTTTCAGGTTTTCCCCAAGCAAAACCCTCTTCTGCACTGCCAGAGGTACCTGTAAGGCCTTGAACAGAAACCATGGCTTTGTTGGGTTTTAGGTGAGGCTTTCCACCAGCTAAACCCACTAGGTTACATGCAAGTTTATTGCTTTTAAAAAGTGGGGACTATACATCCGTGTTTTCCTGAGTCAATATTTAGCAGTATTTTTCCAGCATGTCTTCTGAGGAAGCAATTTTTTGTGAAAATGTTGTGATGCAATTTTATTGGCAAGGACTGAAAAACTGGGCTTTTTTTTTTTTTTTTAACAAAATAAAATGAAAAAGAGGTCTGGATATGTCCTGTGCACTTAAAACATTATAGCGTATTTCTCCTCTTCTAGCAATGACACACAATGCAGCACGTGAGCTCTCTTGAAAAGCCTGTGGAGGGCACATGACAGTTCAGTGGCTCCCCACTCATTTTGTTCAAAACCCATGCTGACACGCAATACACTCCGTTTCTTACATGCATGCTTGCACATGTGAAGGCAAACCTTCATCCTGCTCTAGTGTTATTCTACATGGTTAAAGATAGAGTTCGAGCAAAATGAAAGATTTCTCAGGAGGTTGAGTGAATAGATAATAAACTGGAATGTGGCAGTCATGGCATCCTAACTGGAAAGTTCACTAGTAGGGATAGTGATAGTAATAGCGAAATCCCTAGTGTGCCCCAAAATCATTAGCTGAGAATGGAATACTTGTATCCTACAGTTAAGCAATCTAAGTTTTTCATTTCCCCTGACATGTGTGTAGTGATTTGTGGCATATTTCAGGTTCACTCTAGTTCCATATTTAATCTCCACATCCAAGTATTTTATAAGGAATGTGGGCAATTACTGATGATCAGAATCCGCATACCCTAATTTTAAGCCCTATTCCTTTTCACATCAATGCTTAAACTTCAGTCAGGACTTTGGTGTCAGTCAGATGCTGGTAAATGAAGTTTTGATTCTTCAGAGTTGTCTGTATGGAGAAATGTACATTAGCATATTCCCAATAAAGATAGTTGAACTCTGAGCTGGTGGTTTACCACTGTGGGTTTTGTAGCAGTGTATAGCTCTATCTGACTCTATAACAGTGTGTATTGATGCTTTTAGCACATTAAAAAATAACGAAGACAAAACAATTAAATTGAAGATAGGCAAAGTTGCTTTTGAAGGAGGAATTGCTAATGCAAGATGTGCTTTTCAGTCTAGGTAATCTTACTAACTTCTGTAATTTTTTTCTTCCTGTTTTTGTTTTTCCTCTCCCAGAGTTAGGAATTGGAGACCTTATTCCAGTGGATGTTAATCATCTAAATATTTGTAAGCCAAAGAAGAAGGATGCTTTCCTGTACCAACATACACTGAAGTTCATTCAAGATGTTTTAGCCCAAGAACTTGGAGATTGATGTTTTGCCATCCTTGGCTGCTTATTTTATTCCTCTATTTGGCGTAACACAGTAAGTTCTTCTCCTGACATTTGTTAGGGGATCTGCAGAACTACAAAGATGCTATGTCAATAGTATCTGCAGCTAAAATAATTTCAGCACATCTCCAACTTAGATACTTCTCCAACTTATTTCTAAAATATATTCAAAACAAATACAAACTGAAGTCCTGTAAACCTGGCAAAAAGAGAATGTGTGTTGGCTTAGAGTGACCATGATCTGTCAACAAAATGTGTGTAAATTCTCCAGCACTTAGTCTACAGGTATCCCTCTGGAGCAACACAGCTTGACTATGGAGAGTGCCCAGGTTATCTTCTTTATCAAGAACAAAAAAGGAGCTTTCTGGAGATGGGTGGTCTCATTAAGGTAACTCTACATCTGGGACTAAAATCTTACAGAGAGGATCAGAAACAGGTGATAATTTGTTGTATCAAAGGGGTGAAGCAGCATGTGGCTGCCTCAAAGCTTTGGTTTACAGGCCATGTTAAGAGCCTGCAGAAGTGCATCCAAGTCAAGGAAAGTAGCGTTTTGGTCTAGTGGCCAAATTACAGGAGGTTTTGTAATTTGCCTTTTCATTTAATAGACCACTCGGATTTGTCAGCAAATATGGCTTCTGTTTTCTGTTAGAGATAGGTTGGTTGCATAGGCAACTACAGTTGTTTTAATCTGTTTGTACTAATGAACACAAAAGCAGTGTTCACCTTGTACATTTCTCTCTTAACCTTAGCGACTTGTGAGATTGCTTTCTTTAGGACAGTGTGTATCTGATCAGACAGCATTTCTGTGCTTGTTCACATGGAAGATACAGAACAGAGGCTTAGTTCTTTTGCTTTACTCTTAGGACATATGGAGAAGATGGTACGTTCAAATCTCTGGCTCATGGTACTCATTTAGAAACTCCTTTTGCTGATTTAAAGAAGAGCATTGAAAAATGCTCAAGTGGAATAAGGCAAATGTAGGCCTTGACAAGAAAGCTAATGCTTAGAGTTTGGAGCTCAGGTAGAGAAAAGTAATGCAGGAATAAATTCAGGTGATCTTAAGTCCCACTGGAAATGTGGAAGATCCCAGATATTTTGGACTGTTGGGGCCCAAGTGTGTTAGCAGTGTAGATACAGAGAAAAGACAGCAGTGTTGTCTTACTTGAGTTTATATTTATATTAAGGCTACCTTAGCAGTACTGATTAAGTATTTTTTAGCAAAAAGAAAATATGGCAGCACTCAGTCACTTTTATAAAGTCTTAGTTTGCAATGTAGTTAAAAGCAGCCTCATGTACTTGTTGTCTCTTCCTTCCACCCAATTCCCCAACCCTCTCTGAAAACAAACACAGGCTGTGATGAGGCTACTCTGTCGTAGCTGACCACTGGTTAAATAAGGCCTGTACTGATGACAGGCTTAAGATGTCTCTTAACATCACTCATGTGAAATAGATCTAATGTCACTGGCCTTAAAATAGCAGCTATGAAAGCTACCAAAGGTGGAATGGGCTTTGCAGTTCTGCACAGGCTTGGTGCAGGTGCCAGTGGCTGTTGCAGTCCTGCCAGGTCGTGAGGCCACCTCAGCTCTTCCTACTTCAAGGCACTCCGGCCCAGGGGGACACTAGATCTGAAAATGCACCTCTGGAAGTTGAGCTTTGACCTGCTGCAGTTGCATAGTGAAAGTCACAAGAGCAGTACAGAGAAGTAGAGCACCATGCTGGCAAGAAGAGCATGTTTTCCCCCTAACCAAGGCGTAGGTAAGAACACTGCATGGAGGTATTTCAGATAGATAGAAAACGCAACAAAACTGTCAGAACTTCTAAAGAGGTTTATCCTTTTTACACTGTGGCTTGAATATATTATTTAAATATATTTACTGAGTGTAAATATATTAGAACACTTTGTATTCACAAAGTAGAGGGTATGTGGAATTCATTGTGAACAGACAAGACGTCTAATAACTGAATGCGTGTGTAGTATGACAAATCTTGTATGGATTTTTAATAGACTTCTTATTTGGCTTACAGGGATTCACGTCAATAACGTTACATGTTCATCTCAGTAAATGCGTCTCTGATTTGTTACTGTAACTATGGCAACTTTCTCCTTTTTTTAACTGTATGTATAGATGTAACTTTTAAAACTAATATTTTAAGGGGAAGTTGGGGGTTGTTTTTTTTAATATAGTAATGAAGTGTGTTTTTAAAAATGTCCTAGATATGCCATAAAATATATTAAAGTTGAATGACCTGCCAAATGAGTACTCCAGATCATGTTCACTTTTGTTAAGGACCTGCTTTGTGTTTTAGTGACTGTCTCGTGCTGGGAGAATGCCATATGTACCCTTCATCTTTGGTAAGGGGTGTAGTACTGGGGGTGCAGTCGGTCATCAATGTTTTACCAAACTGAACAGTTTTTCAGTTGTGCTTTTGGATTTTGCAGTGGGGCTTCCTAAGCCACGTACTGACATTGGTTCGAGGGCCAGAAGAAGGTCTGTTGTGTAGCATTTGTATCTGCTTCCATTAGAAAATTACGCTTTTGTGCTTCTCTGGTGCCACATTAATTCAGAATATTGCTGTTATGTCAATTCTTAGGTCTGAAATTATGTCCTTAATCCCTCCTAGCTGGGGATCCAACTTGCAGATGTGGCTGTGGCTGACAGGTACATGTGAGTTGTCTGCAAAGATGTTCTTCTCTGTGTTGTGGCATCCAGGACTAAAATAGTAAGACAAGCAGGAAGGGCTAATAGTTCATTAATCTTGCACTTGTGGTCCAGCACTCTTGTATAACTGTATTGGTATTTCTAGTAGCAACAGTCATCAAGTTTTTAATTCCTGTAATTACAGTAGCGTAAATTGGCTTTCACTCTGATTTATGCTCGTAGTGCCAGGCAGCAGCTCGAGACAAGATATTTTTCCATATGGTGAAAATGGCAATTCTGGACAAAAAGGAAAAAGCAAAAATGTTGTTTTGTCAGAGTGGAAATTCTAAATAATATTTTGGGGTTGGTTCTCTTTGTTTGTTTCAGTGATCAGCCACGTAAAAATGCTTAATCCTGAATGAGAAGGGTCTGAGTTTGCTGTAGTGGCTTCCCAAGCACAGGGCAAGCCTGGCCCTGCTTTGCTTCCGACCATTAAAACTAGAACCCAGGTCACAAGCACCTGCCTCTGAAAAATCCCTTGGCTGGGGCTCTGGACACCAGTGTGGAAGATAATCTGTTGAGCCAGGAGATTCCTCATTCGTTGCTGTAACCTTTTCAGCTCAACTGACTGTTCTTTTCCCTCGATTTGCTGTGATTGACCAGTATATGCTGTCACTGATGGTATAAGCCAGTTGCCTGCCAGGATTCATACTTTAAGAGGCAGCTAGCCACAAACACAGTCATAAGGTAGAATGCTAAAGGCCACATACTTCTCTTCTTCAAGGAGACTAATAAAGCAGATTTTATTTGATTTGTATAAATCCATTTTAATGGGCTTTCCTGCAGCTTTCCAGATACCTCTTTCATTAACATGTAAATTAGCTGTCCTAGAGCTGTTAATTATCTTCGCAGAAAGCACTAGCTATGGCCATATAACATACTCTTTTTTACTTTTCTTGATGTTTCATACTGAAGTGTGCCTGTATCTCTTCTGTTTCAAAAGATACACAGATTTACCGTATCTTTTCTGTTAGGAAGAGGACGAAGAGGTTACAGCTTTGTGTTGTCTTGTAGGAAAACAACTGTCTGGCTTCAGCATTATTCACCAGCCTCCCACCACATTAAATGGGCACTCAGATAAGCTTAGCACTGCATTTGCCCTTTGAAGGATTTGGGATTTTTTTTTTTAAGTTAAGTGCCTGGCAGAGAAGGCCGCAGAGGAGGATGGCAGGTGCTCGGATAAAGGCAGCATCTGCTCTGATAGGGTACGTGCTGTGTCCAAAATTTGCCAGCAGCAGTGAAACAGGTAGGCATAACAAGTAACAAAATTGCTGAATTCCAGTTTCCAAGATGCTAACAAGCAAATTGATTTTCATATTAAAAAAAATCCTAATTCTGAACTTTTAAAATACACCTTTCCTGGAAAAACCCCAAGGGATTGTTTTCAGCTTCACCAACTGTTTAAAAACTATCTCTGTCCTTTAATAATAAAAGAAAGATCTTTGTGTTTCTGTTAAGAAGTCACCATGACAAGCTCCAATCTGTTTGTCATTTTTAACTGCCTGCTTTGAACAAATGGCATCCACAGGGTATAGTTTTACTGCACAGGCAAGGCAGCAAGAGCAGTAAGACACATTTAGCACTATGGATTATCTTTGCCAAATCATGGGTTCCTGAGAAGCGTGACTGCTGCCTTGCTAATAAACAAGAGATGACTTCATTATGAAGATCAAGCCTGCATTGGGCTGAGCAATACTTCATAAGTCAGCCCACCCTGGTAAGTGAACACTGGGTGCATGTAAGGGAGAAGCAGGACAGTCACGCAGGAGTACTTGGCTGGTGTCCACAGTGGTTAACAGGGGCTGCTTCCCCTATCAGTGCTGTCGTGGCCTGAACCATTGCACATTATCATCTTTTAAACCTCTTGTCGTGAGAAACTGCATAGAAAGATGATGGTAGCTGCGTGGTAGTCTTTGTGTTGCAGCTGCCTCCTAGGTGTGCTCCCTTTGCAGATGCATGGTGCCCCTGAGCAAAAGCTTTTTTTTTTACAGTGGTGCACATGCTTCTTAAATGCAGCCTTAGACATGGTTGCCCATGTCTAGTTCTAGGTTTTAGCCTTCTCAGCTCATGGCCAGTGATCCCCTGATGCAGCACAGCTTTATCACAGGTGCTGAGGGTGGGAATGGTATTCATATGGCAACTCCTTCCCTGGTACAAAACAGACTGCATAGCTGATGATGAGCAGGAGCACACAGAGCAGTAGTTCCTCACCCTTCCACCCTGTACCTGCCTACTGGTTTGGGGTTCAAGATGAGTTTTAGTGTGAGCAAATTAGGCTACAAGAGACTGCTCCCCACTGCAGGAGGGTCCTGCTGTTCCCAGTCATGTGCTTGTGGCTTAGTTTCAGTATGTAACAGCCTGTGATGCATATGCTTAGACTTGAGTTCCAAGAGCAGCTCTTTCCTCATCTGCACCATGGGAATAAAAGATTGCCATGGCATTTTCCTACAAAGCACAGGATGGGAACAGGGACACAACTACTGAATTACCAAGCTGCCTTTAGCATAAGACATGAATACGTCAATGACTTAGGCCATCGGCTGGTCTCAACTACTCTCCATATTTCCACTGTATTTCCATAGCTGATACATGAGCAGATGACAGTGTTTCTTCAAAAAGGGACTGTCACTGTCCATGTGCTATTTCATTGTGAAGTATGTTGTTTTGCATTGGCTTGCTGTGAATGAAAACTATGGTGAGTTTTGGAACTGTGCTAGAAAACCTACTAGGGATGCCTTTAATCTCTTTGTAGGTCAGAGCAGTGTTTTGAGTAGCTCCCCAGTCGTTTTAGAACAGTTGAGGCATGTTATTACAGCACAGCACTTCACTTAACAGAGGTCTGTTGTAATATGCAGGTTCACTTGCCTGGTCAAGTAAAACGAGACATTTCTTGCTGACCACTTCTCCTGATTCTGCTGCACAGCCTCACAGCACACAGCGTGCATTTTACTTTAGCACAGGAATGAGTTTAACAAGGCAAGTACTAGGGCCTGCCAACACCACAGCTATTGAGATCTACAAGAAGATACTGCTTAAGCCTTGATTGCACAACAGAAAGTAAGCAGCAGAACAATGCTAGCATTACTGTTGTAGCTATAGCGCTAGCTACTCTCCTTCTGGGTGTCCATTCCAGAATAACTGCAGCAGTCCAGCTATTTCAGATAAGGGTGCTTTATTTCAAGTGGCAGAAATGGATTAATACATAAATTTCACAGGAAAATGTTCTTCTGCGGGTCTTTTATCCGTACATCATTACATATTCTTATACATGATTTGTACCTGAAATGAAGTAAAACATCTTAAGATGTTTAAGATTAATAAAAAGAAATAACTTAGGATAAAGAACTTTTCAAACAAGCTGTAGATAAGGTTAGGTTGTATATACATGTCCCTCCAGGGGCAGAATTCTTACCTTTAAACATGAAATGTAGCCTGGACAGATAATCTATTCCCTTAAATAAAAATCCTTGTGCAAAAGATAGATTGATTTTGCATTACAATTACAATTTCTATAGGAACAATAAGGGGACAAAATTTTACAATTCTAAATCAGTATTTGCCTTCATCAAGCTATTTTTGTTTTGCTCTAAGACAAGAAGTTTGTTGAATCCTTCTGCCAGGCCACTACTGTCTTCATCATCACTAAATGTAACCCAGTGACTGAAATCTTTCAAGCTGGGATGTTTTAGACTTTCTGGAGTGTGTGCTGGAGAAGCTGATGCCACCTGCATAGAAAGAGGGCAGGAACAATCCAGGTCCAGGTCCAAAGGACTGGTGTTCTCTGCAAGAAAGCTGGTATCCGAGAGCTGTGCATGCTGGCTGCCTGGTACAGGAGGATACTGGAGGTTGGTCATCAATTCTGTGGTGCTTGGTGCCAGCTGCTTAGCTGTGTTGTCTTCTGGGCTGGTAGAGAAGGCAGGAGCTGAGAGAGATGCCTGCATGGGGCCGTGAGAATCCCGAGTCTGAGGGCAGAGCCCAGGATTGTTGTTGTTGGAGTTGAACATCAGCCCACTAAAAAGTGGGTTGTCGCTGCTCTGGAGAACTTGCAGATGAAGAGCTGCAGGAGCCGACTTCTTTCTTCTTGGTG